CGCCGGGCTCTGCAAGGCTCAGCCCGGGACCAGAGATTTTTATAAAAACCTTAAATTACCTGCAGGTTTTTTTGTCTAGATGGGATTCGTTTAAGGAATATTCAAACAATAAGTCGTGTTTGTTTATGTAATTAATAACCGAATTCTTGCCTACTCACTGTATTTACAGGTTCCTAGTTCCAGGAACTTTTGACCATCAATAGTCATTGATCTGAACTCCAGCAGTTTGGAGCTTGTGGAAATGCTGACTGGATTCATATTCCTGTCTATCAGCCAGTGGCAGGAGCCTGCACTTTTCTATAGGACAGGAGAGAAATGAAATTGTCATTTCTTAGCAGTATAAAAACAGCGGTCTCAGTACATGATCTTAATATGAGCAATAAACTTCTAGGGAAAGTGTCCAGCACAGTCTGGATCAGCATCTGTTCCATTTCCTTACAGAGTCTGTCCTCGACTGCCCTGTGGTGACCAGAAGAAAGGGTGAAGTCTGGATTTACAGTATTTGTAATTTTGTCTTGCAGATCTCTCTGTTACTCATTCAGTCATTAGCAAGCATTAAAAATAGCAGCGGTTTGCATGGATGGAAGGTGTTCCACCAGCTTTCTCCTGCTGTTCCTGATCCCTTGCCTGCTGTGCACTCAGCTTGTCAGGGCATGCAGAGGGAATATGGCTACAGGATTTCATTCTGTACAAACTCAGATAGAACAGACACAGTTCTTGTCCTGCTGTGGAGCAGTGTGAGGATGTGCAGAGTGCTCAGGGAGCTTTAAGTTATTGTTCTGCTGCAAAGCAAGAGCAAGAACATGAGTAGGTAAAGAAGAAGATGCTTTGGTGAATGGTTTGATGGCAGAATTCCCACACACACATCCTTCTGTAAAGGGCTGGCTGTCCTGGAAGAAGTCACTGATTATCACTGCACAAATTAAGGCTGCATGAAACACAAAATTAGAAATATTGTGAATCCAGACTTCACCCTTCCTTCTGGTCACCACAGGCCAGTCGAGTTCCTTACAGGACTCTAAGGAAACTGCTGATCCAGGCTGTGCTGAACACTTTCCCAGCGAAGTTCATTGCTCATTTTAAGATCCTCTCCTGGTCCTGGGAGTTTTTTACTGCTAAGAAATGACAATTCACATTCATTTCACTCCTGTTCCATAGTGAGGTAAAGGCTCCTGCATCAGAGTAAGGGGCAGGAGTGCTGGAACCAGTCAGCATTTCCACAGGCTCCAAACTGCCGGAGTTCAGATCAGTGACTATTGATGGTCAAAAGCTCCTGGAAGCAGAAACCTGTAAATATAGTCAGTAGAAATAAATTTGGCTATTACATAGCATAAACAAACATGATTTTTTGTTTAAATGAGTATTACTTAAATGAATCCTGTGAACAAAAAAAGAAAAAAAAAGAAAAGGTGCAGGTAATTCAAGGGGTCATGACTTTTTATTTTTTTCTTTTTTGGAAGGACTACAATCTGATCTATGAGAAAATTGCCCTTTGTTCTATTTCTGAAATCCCCATTCCCTAATTTGGTTCATGCTCATCCTGTTCCTCCCCAGACCTTAGGTGTGGCAATGAAATAACCAGATAACTGGTTTGGATCCCAGCACACCAGCAGTGGCAGAAAGCTCTTATCTTGCTGTTCTAGCCTGACTTCCTAAGGAAATAAGTTTTATGAAGCTGTGCTGTGTGTCTGTCTCCTTCAGTAATCTCCTGGGGCTTTGGACTGGTTCAGGTATCTTTGGCAGAACAGTAAATGTATAGTTTTAAAGGTGTGAGGCTCCTTTGGGTTTTATGCAAATTCCATCCATTAGTTTAAAAACAGAGTCCTTGTTTGTTCTGCTGTGGCTCTACAGAGTGTCTGTGGGACAGGAGAATCCCTGTGGAAAGTCTCTCCTTGGCTCCAGCTGCAGGGAAAGCTTTGGCAGGAGCCAGCAGCCCACACAGCGCAGTTTGTGGGGCCATGCAGGGAAATGGAGCCTGCAGTTTGTCAGTGCTGAAAGGAGGGGGGCAGCTGGACATGAGGGGATCAGCTGGACACCAGGGGATCAGATGGACACCAGGAGGGCAGCTGGACATGAGGGGATCAGCTGGACACCAGGGGGGCAGCTGGACACCAGGAGATCAGCTGGACATGAGGGGATCAGCTGGACACCAAGGGGGGCAACTGGACATGAGGGGGGCAGCTGGACACCAGGGGATCAGCTGGACACCAGGGGGGCAGCTGGACACCAGGGGATCAGCTGGACACCAAGGGGGGCAGCTGGACATGAGGGGGGCAGCTGGACACCAGGGGATCAGCTGGACACCAGGAGGGCAGCTGGACACCAGGGGATCAGCTGGACACCAGGAGATCAGCTGGACACCAGGGGATTAGCTGGACACCAGGGAGGCAGCTGGACATGAGGGGATCAGCTGGACACTGGGGGGCAGCTGGACACCAGGGGTCAGCTGGACACCAGGAGGGCAGCTGGACACCAGGGGGGCAGCTGGACATGAGGGGATCAGCTGGACATGAGGGGATCAGCTGGACATGAGGGGGTCAGCTGGACATGAGGGGGTCAGCTGGACACCAGGGGATCAGATGGACACCAGGGGTCAGCTGGACACCAGGGGAATCTCTTTGTGTCAGGTGTCAGCTGTGTCTGTCCATGAACTTCCAAGGTGTGGGATATTCTCCTGGCAGGGCCTGGAAGTGCTGGGATGATGATTTATGCATCACCTCTTCCTGAGTGGTGTTCATGCTTGGCTGGTGCTGAGCAGCTGCCCCTTGAAACTTGAGCCATTACTTTGTTTTTGTTTCTGTTTTGATTGCAAGTTGATCATTAATTCCTCACTGTAAATCCATTTTATTTAGAAGGACTTCTGATCCATTTTATTTAGTTGAAGATTTTTTCACTGCACTTGCCTACCTCCCCTCCTGTGTGTGTGGCCATTTTGATTTATCCCCATGTTTCCTGGCCCCAGGCAGTTTCAAGAAAAATATTCAACATCCCCACCAGTGGGGAATCTAAAAGGATTCAACATCCCCACCAGTGGAAATCTAAAAATTTCTAGAATGATTTTGAAGTCCTGCAAATGGGAAAGCATAGGGACAGATGTAGTCCCACCAGTTTTGTATCCAAATTGTTATCTTACTAATGGAAGGAAAGCATTGGTGGCGTGAACATGAGGAAAGAAAATGGTTTTACTTTCTTTTTCTAGTCACTTTTTAATGAGAGGAAATGGCTTCTGGTTCCAAGAGTCATCAAATCAAATTTCTTTCTCCGACAAAGCCAGACTTTTTTGTGATGTGGTGGAAACTTGCCAGTTTCTGGTGTCTTGCTGAAGGATAAAAGAGCTTTCAGACATGAGCCCCAAGTCTGTAATTCAATCTCCTTGGAAGAGCTCCAGGGAATTGTTGCTGGGATCAGGGAGGCTTTGCATGGAAACAGAGATCCGGGCAGATCTGATTGCCATGTCTGAACCTGGACAGGCTGCTTAAACTCTTCTGATCTGCGTGTGAAATCAGGCAGTGCTCCCAACTTCCTGGCTGTTGATTTATGAGTATTTGTAGGTGATGATAACAGAGTGAGCTTCAGGATCCGGGAGTCTGGCTTAATGCTCACTCTTCCTCACTGCTGCTTAATTGAAATGGGTTTTTGTTGATGTTCCACTGGTGGTGTAGAGCAAGGAGACCTTCAGCTGGAGTCTAAAGAGCTGGATACTTCCAAGCAAATGCTGCAGCCTGCCTTTGAAGAGTACTAAACATGAATTAAGTTTTCCAAACTGTTCAGTGGCCTGGGAATATATGACTTTGATGCTTGTGGAATAATGCTGCTTTGCCACCTCTGAAGTTCACTACGTGACCCCAAGGAAGTTAAGATTTGTGTGTCTCAGGGTGAAGAGATATTGGAAGCTTAACCTCTCTGTCTGAAGGTGAAACTTAGGCCTGGAAGGGGCCTCAGCCCTGGTGCTGCTGTGGGTCCTTTGCCATGATGGGTGTGGGATAAGCAATGGGAAAACCCCTCAGCTGTGACCTGCTGTGAAATGCTCGTTTAACACAGGCCACTGCATAGTCACCAGGGAGCAATTCTTAGAATTAACTAACCAGAGCTGGATTCAAACCAGTAAATTTTCTAGTAATAAAAGGTGTGAAAATGTCTTACCAGTAAATTAAGAAGAAAAGGGACTGGAAGGACAGTCTTACCTGGAAATTGCCCTGGAAATACTGCTCTTCCTTTCAGAGATTAAAGATACCACTGTACTGTATCATATTAAATACCTTTTTGGCCCATTTTTGGCTATATTAGCCTGGGATAACATTACTCCTCCAGAAATCTTGTTTCTTTTCTATTTACACTTCCTTTAAAATGATTCTACCTTTCAAGCTAACCTCCTTCACCACTTGTTTATCATTGATTTCCTCTCTGGTTGGTGTGGCATCCCACCTGCCTGTGTGGAAGGCAGGTATACACCGAGAGCAAGTGCAGACACAAAAGGGATAAATCCCTTTTAATCCCAGAGCTCAGCCCAGTGCTGGGCCTGGGAGGGGAGCAGGGTCCCACAGCACCCTCACACCCAGCCCGGATGGGGCTCATGGGGTGCACAGATCACCTCTCACAGAGCCAAAAGTTCTTGGGGAAGCACAGGGATCACCTGTGAACTTCCTGCTGCAGTCTCAGACTCTTTGGAGCAGATTTTCACCCGCCCATGACCTCAGGGGAGCAGCTCCATCCAGGCTGGAGCCAAGGCCGCCTTCTCCTTCAATCATATTTGAAGTGGGTGGTTGAAAATCAAAAAGCAACAGACATGGAGCTTTCCCAGCACTCTCATCCTCATCCCTCCCTCTTGCTGAAGGGATTCCCCCAGGTGTGGCAGTGCTGGCCATTGGCACGGTCACCTCTGTACCCTGTTTGCTCTGAAGGAGAAGGAGGCTGATGGGCAGTGCCTGTGTGCCCTCCCCAGTGAATTCCTGAGCCCTCAGCAAGTCTCAGCCAAATGTGGCAGAGGAGGAGAAGCCTCCACTTTGTTCCTTTGGTTTTCATCAGAGTCAGATGAAAGATAGCTGCTGGGAAGGGGTGGGAGCTCTGCCTCCCTCAGCCCCCCCCAAAACTCCAGTGGGTTGGGGCTGGTTGTGGGAGCAAAGCCAGGCCAGGGGCAGCTTTGCCTCCTCATGAGCCACCAGAAAGTGACTTCTCCTTCTTGTGTGCCCAAGCTGGACCTCTCCCAGAACCCAAAGGTGAGAGATTTTATAATTCAGTGCTGGGGGGAAGCACCAGGGTGGGGTGACTGGAGGGTGCTGTGACAGGGCACAGCCACTGCTCATGGTCCTCTGTCTCCTGCAGGCCAAGGTAGCCAGTGTCTATGAGTCGCCTGGCTTCTTCCTAAGCTTGGATCCAATTCCAGGAGCCCTGGAAGCTGTGCAGGAGATGTTCCACATGCAGGAGTAAGGATACTTTGCACCCTACAGCCCTTTTCCAGGATCTACCACACTTTCACCTGACTGTTAACAAAAGCTGTTTCTTTTCAGTACTGAGGTCTTCATTTGCACGAGCCCTCTCCGGAATTACGAGCACTGCGTCGTGGAAAAGGTGGGAGAGAATTGTTTTTATTGAGTTTAATGCTGCTTTTGCAAGGCTTTGCTGTTTCATACTACCCAAGTTGGAGCTACTCCTTTCTGGAGACAGTAGCTGCTCCAGCTGCCAGGCTTCCCTCAGTCCCTGTGTGAGGGATAGGTTCTCACACACAGAGCAGTAACTCAGGACAGGGAGTCTCCAAGTGCCACATGGTGCCAGCATTGCTGTGGAGCACGTGAGCCCTGCGCTCTTGGAGCTGGCCTGGGACCAGCTGTGTCAGCAGGTGACAAGAAAGGAACTGTTGTAGTGTGACCCACAGGGATGGGGTATTCCCAGGGGATTCTACTCTGGAGAACCACCAGCCAACAAAACCTACTTCAGTCTAAGTCTGGAGCCTGAGATGTCCCAGAAGAGGTCAGTGCTGTGTGGAGGAGTAGGCTGTAGTGTTGGAATAAATCCTTTTTCTCTGTGGTACGAGAATGGAAGGGGGGACTTTGATCACTGGAATGACTTAGATGGGTACAACCCATGTGCTCTGGGCAAGCAGCCAGCGCTTCTCACAAACTCCCCAGCTGGGCACAGCCAGGGCAGTGCTGAGCGAAGGCTGTCACACCAACAGATTTAATCAGCACCCTGGGCCGCAGCCAGTCTCCATGTGGGGATTCCTAGACACAGATAAGGTTTACAGGGGGAAGAAATTGCTCTGTTAGGGCTGGTCTGACAGGAGTGATGTGCAAACTGAGAGCACAGCAGGATTTTCTCCTGTTCCTTGTCTCTGCAGTATAAGTGGGTAGAGAAACACTTGGGACCCGAGTTTGTGGAGCGGATTATTCTGACCCGAGACAAGACCGTGGTGGCTGCTGACCTGCTGTTTGACGACAAGGACACCATCCAAGGTTTGAACAGCATTTCCATGGCTGGCTGCTGGCTGGGGAGCTGATTCCAGCTGATTCCAGCTTTGCCCCCTTCCCACAGGCGCGGAGCCGAGGCCGAGCTGGGAGCACATCCTGTTCACCTGCTGCCACAACCGGCACCTCCAGCTGCCGGCCCCGCGCCGGCGCCTGCGCTCCTGGGCCGACGACTGGAAGGGCATCCTGGAAAGCAAGCGCAGGCAGTAGTCCAGGGAGGGGATGCTGTGCTCTTCCCACTGCCAGGAAACAACCGGCCCATCCCCTGCCATGCCCAGGAGGCACTGTCACCGCAGGGATCAGCCAGAGAAGAAATGAGCTGCTCCTGTCAGACACAGTGCTCTGGGTTTCTGGAAGACTGCTCTGCACTTTTAATCTCTGTAGTGTTTTGGATGTTTGCTGTTGGAGAAGAGAAACTATAAACTACAAGCAGCTGTGGTTGGATTTTTGTGTGTGCTTAACCTCACTCCTGTTTGGTTTGTGCTGCTGGGGGCAGAGGGGAGAGAAAAAGAGGAAGAAGGCTCTGACATGTGAGCAGACCCAGTGTGGGTGTCTGACAGGAAGCACTGGGCTCAACAGTCAAACCTTTTAAATGTTATCTATTTAGCCACCCTGGTTATTGGGTTTTCTCTTGCCTCATGGCTGATAATGAAAAGAGACAAGGCTGGCTTCGAGTTCTTGGCCTGTGTGCTTCTCACACAGAAATGATTACACAGCATTTAAGTTAAGTTAATGTTTTATTAACAGAAGCTTTTACAAGACAGCTGTTCTCATGAGCTGGACTGCCATGATTCCCCTTCCTTTTTTTTTTTAATTACTTCACCTTTCTCACCAGTGGTAATAAAAGACAAAGTTTCCACTTCTTCATTTATAGAGTAGCTACAGCCTGCCCTATGTAGTGATTCTGTAGCTGGCTACCTGTGCCATGATTAGAGGATGGCATAACTAGTGCCACAGGGATGGAGAGATTGTGAATTGCCAGGGCAGGGAAACTCCTTTCTCTGCAGGAGGAATGCATTTCTGTGACATTTCAGTGACTTGAATTGACAGTGTCACTTGTCAGGGGCACTGAAGGGGAGAGGTGTAGCACAACTAGCCAGGAACTGGAGTGGATATAATTCCGCCCAATAACCCGAGCAGAACACTCCTCATTGCTGGGAAGGGTTGTTTGTGCAAGCTGGGTGCTGAGCTGCACTTGGCAAAGTACTTTCCAATGTGCAGCCATGACCTGATTTATTTTAAATATTTGCAGGCTTAGCTATGTGCTTGGCCCAGCTGCCGTGTTAGTGCTGTTCCTTCCTGTTTGTTAACCAAACCCCAGCACTGGTGGGACCAACACCCCTCTTTAATGCTGCTCTTGACCTGCTGAGCAGAAAGTGAGAACAGCAGGAGGCTCCCCTCTCCACAGCCCTGCTCAGTCCTTGGGCATTGGAATGCCCACTGCCGTGTGCCTGCTGAGGCTCCTGGCCTCCTCCACCTGCGCAGGGCTGCAGTAGTCCTGCAGGAAGATGGAGGCCAGGTTGCTGAGGCGCGTGTTGGCCGAGAGCGAGAAGCGCAGCATGCACTCCACCACGGGCAGCGCCGTGGTCTGCGCGCGCGACCGCGGCGTCGTCAGGAACATCAGCGTGGTCACAGCCGACACCACGGTCTCCTCGTTGGAGCTGGACAGGCAGCTGATGATGGGCTCCACCCCGCTGGCCTCCAGGATGTACTCTTTGTTCGTTTTATCCAAGCACAGGTTGCAAAGACCACCTGGAACGGCAAGAGGAAAGTGTCTGAGGTGATGCAAATTCACCGCTCATCCTGTTTCTAACATCCAGATCTTCTGTATGGATGGAAAATTCTTAACGATTCCCTAGGCCATGTGTTTTTGACTGTTTCCGACGATTTTCCACCAGCACACTCCTCCTGTGTGTCATTAGAGGGCACTGTTACTGCTGCACATAACTGCTTCCACAGAATGATTCCAGGAATGCCCACTCATCCCTACTGGAAGACACAAGCCAGCAGTTTATTGCAGGTGCTACAGAAAGCCAGAGAATGCAGGTAACAGAGTTAGTAGCCAAGAAGCACAGAATGTTTGAAGCTTGAAACTTCGAGATGCAGCCACACACCTTAAAAATCAAATCCATTTAGTATCATCTCACAGAACCACTCACAGCATCTGGCCCCTTAGCTTATGTTCAGACCATGAAAAATTGTGGCAAGGCAGTTCCTCAAAAGATTTATTAAAATTGTCAAGTAAGCATTCTAGAAGACCAGCTGCCAATAGCAGAATGGACCTGTACAATTAACCTGGCAAAATCTATGTATTAATGACTGCTTCTCTACAGGAGAGATTTTAGTAAAAAGTTAATCAGGTAGTGTTTAGGATAAAAAACTAAAATCCTTTGCAGCTAGTGTCTTCATTAAGCTCTGTAAGGACATGGAAGACACGCCTGCCTCTGACTTCCCTCCCATTCTGCACTAAACGAGGCTTTATCAGCACAGTGTGAGTTTGTTTTTGGAGCATTTGGGGCGGGTTAGGGACCAAACGGAGCGCGGGGCCGGTGTCCCTGCCCCGGTGACAGCGGAGGGTGCTCGGGGCAGCCCTTACCCATGGCAAACTCCACCAGGGTCTCGTTGTCCTCGGTCAGCATATCCAGGAACAGGTCCAGCACCTGGAGCTGCCGCAGATACTCGTAGTTGCTGGGATCGTAGGCGAAGTTGGCCAGGTTCGCCAGTACCTGCTCCTTGGCCTCTGCAAGGGAAAAGGAAAAGGGTCGGGGGTGTGAGGAAATGCTCGACACGGAGAGGGCCAGCGGAGCAGCGGCGTTTGTTACCTGTGCTGTCCGTTACCTGTGCTGTCCGTCACCTGGAACTCGGTGACGAGCGCCTGCAGATACTCCAGCCGACCCAGTTCCATCAGGGAACACCGCACCGGTCTGCCTGTTCCCCCGGGCAAGGCCGGCTCAGGGACCGGGTGTAGCGAGGAACGGAGACGAAGCGGCCGCCTCGGCGCGGCCGGAACAGCCCGCCCGCCGCCATTTTGTGGGCGGGACAGGGCGGTGCCATCTCCCCTCAGGAGGCGCGGGAGCGGCCGCCATTTTGTGGGCGGGGGGCAACTGTAGTCTCAGGCGGTGAGGTGGTGCCTGCTCCGCGTCTCTGTCTTTTTCTAAATACATGATATATAATTATATACTTTATATAAAAATAAATGAGCTGTGTTGAGATATTTGACTGTCTCATTATATGGCAGAGCTTTGCTGTTAAAACGCTTGGTTTTGCAGAGCAGCTAACCTTTCCCCCCTGATTACTTAAATAATTTTCACCTCTGTGTATGTTTTGCTGTTCCATCCCAATGGTGTTGTCCTTGCGGCAGTGCTGCTCCTGGATCAGTTCCAGTTTAAATAACGGGATTGCAATACATGAAGCTGAGGGAGAAAAGGTAAAAACAGGACACAATACTTGCACAGTGAGGGAAATTACCTGGAGGGGAAAAATGAAACAAAGCCAAGGAGTGAATTAGAAGAGCAGCAGGTGATTCCATCTTGGTTGTACAATGGTTTGGGTACAGAGCAGAGCAATTCCCTTGTCTTGAAGTAAGAGTTAAGTGAAACCACCACAGTTTTACGTGCTGCAAAAGGGTTCAATTATGGTGCATGTTGTGCAAATATCCAAGGTAAAGGTTAATGAAGATCATAAACTGTGGGAGTAGACTCTGCAGAAATTTGTACTGCTTTTATTGAAGCAATTACGTGCATGGCTGTTCTTCTGTGGATAAGGCAAGGAACAGGCTGTGAGAATATCTTGTGTTTTGTGTTATCTCAAATACAATTGATTTTCCTATCAAGCAAATTAGTCATGGACTGGTCCAAATGGCATCAGTGACAAGAGTTGGTGGGCTGATAACCCCCACAGCTGAGGGCACTGAAATATCTGCCCATGCCTACATTAAATAGAAGGATGAGCAAAGAAGCTTCACTGAATGCAGTAATGCTGAATTTTTTAACATTGTAATGGTGTGGGAAGACACAGAACATGAAAGGGAAGATATTTATTTCTACCTGGTATAAAAGTTTAAGTCTGGCTAAGTGGTAATAACTTCAGCTCTTAGCATGATTATCAACTGAAGTTGTTATGTATTTATGTGTATGTCTAAATATATACATGTATTTTTATCTGCATATTTGAGTATATCTATCTGAAAATGATCAGCAAAGGTACTACAAAATGTTTTGCTACTGTAGTAAGAAATCTCTTCTAATGTGTGCCTTTGTAAGTGGTAAGTGTTGCTATAGTTTAAAGCCTCATCTGTCATTAAATAGAAGGCGAATGAGTAATGTGGGAAAGCAGGGCAGAGAAAGCAAACACAGGCAGCTAGTCCATACAAACAGAGCACTGCTGGGATTGACTAATAAGGGGGGAGAACTGTGTTTAAAAAGGAAAAATGCAATTACTTCTGTTTGTAAGAACTGCATTTACCCACCCAATATTGGCTGTATAGTTTAATGGTCTGAGTGCTCCAAGCACTGGCTGTTTGCCAGAGCAGTTCCCAGAGCAGGGGCTGGTCTAGCCAGGGTAGTCACAGCTCCAGGGGCTATTCTGGTGACTTGCATAGCACACCAAAGCCAGAATTCAGGAAATTTTAATTTCTAGTAGTTGTTTCTTTTCTTACAGCTGCTAGCTGTGTCTGCAAACAGCAAGCCAAGCTCTTAAATTAAGTGATTTTGCACTTCAGAGGTGTCTTAGTGTGTGTAAGATTGCTGTAACCTTAATTTGGGGTTTATTGCTATTAAATATAAATCATTAATATTGAACTTTCCCTCCTTTGAGCTCCTGCTCAAGGCAGCTTGGAGACACACATGGGAGAGGAGATCCATGGAAAGGAGAGGAGGGGGTGTTTTCTCTGTTATGGGAACTAAGACATCCTATTCACCTGTGGAAACACAGCATAAAATGTTACTTCTGGTCTGCTGAGGATTTGCTTCAAACCTGTGGGTTGTGGATTACTTTTAAAGGGTCTGTGGAAAGTAACCAAGGGGGGACAGCCCTGTTTTCAGGCTTGAGTTCTGTTAGAAAGGTTTCAGTCAGCAACTTGAGAAATGTTGAAATAACAGGTTTGTGAATTGGTTGTTTTTCTTCCCAGAAACCTCCCTCTGCACCTGTGAATAAGTCCCAGTGACCCCAGTGGTAAGTCTGGGAGTATCAAAAAGCCCTTCTGAAAAGCACTCTCCTTCCCTTCCATCCTAAATTATCTTGCACAATCAAGAAATGATCAAAACAGGCTTCTTTGCCTTGGTGTAGGAGGAGCTCATCTCTGTGTCAGCTTCAGTTGGTGAAGATTTTTTGGTTTTGCCCTGTACATTTCCTTTTTTATGAAGCAACCAAGGCAAAAGCATTACAGGTAGGTCAACTGGCTCCATGCAGGAGGTGCCTTCCATTGCTCCTTCACCTAACCTTTGTTTCTTGTGAGAAATTTTGGTGGATTCTAGTTTACACCATATCTTGCCTGTTTTGCCCAGGACATTTGTAGCAGTGGTAGGATCTGGGGCTACATAACCTCATATTTCTGTAAGAAAACAGAAAGGGAATATAGAAAGGTGAAAAGAATTTAAAATTTAGGAATTACACACAGAGAAAATGACAGCCTGTTCAGCTGCTTAGCTGTTTATTTGCAATAGCTAGAAGAAATTTGGGACTTAATCCATTTTTATTGCTTTTTTGTGAGAAAGCCCCCTCATTTTCCTAGGAATGTTCAGCAGTCTCTTTTGGTAAACTGAGAAGCACCAGTCTCTGTTTACTTCATAGTTATGAACCATGTAAGCATTACATAAGTTAATAAACACATGTGATGAGAGATTAGATATGTATATCTCCCCCTAACCATCTTATTTAATTATAGGTTTGATCAGGAAATGCAAATCCTCCTGGGTCTGTGATACCAGGGCAGTACTGGAGAAGATCCTGAGCTGTGGGAGCAGGAGCCCTTCTGAAGGGCTGATGCCCTTTCTGTGTAAAAGCCCCCTGTGAAGCCATCACAGTCTCTGAAGACCTTGGAGTCAGTTCATGCAGAGTGGGGTTTTAAAATTGGTTTGTTTTGTCTGGGGAGCTCTAATGAAAGCTGTGGGTTTGTCACTGGGAATGTGATAGGTCAGTTCTCCACAGAAGCACTGCAGCTGCACTGCATTATTGAAAGCTGTTACTTCTTCTGTTTCACTCCCATTTTGTGCTTCCATCTTTTTGATTGTTCTGATGTGTTGGGTTGTCCTTATCCACGTGCTTCAGGAGCTGTTACCCACATCTGTTGGATCAGGGATGACACAGAATATGAACAGATTGAGCTCCTGCTGCAGCCATTGGCAGGGACAAGCCCAAATCCTGGGGATGTGGCAGAGAATGCCACTTACAGTCAAGGCTGTATGGATAGAAAGTCAGCAACACTGGCTTTTCTCAGTATGCTTTCCCCATGGATTTCTTTTTAATTTTTGCTTGTGCTTATAAGAAATATAAGTTATGTTTGTACAAAGTTCTCCATAATGAGAATGCTGGTGTAATTGGGCTCAAAAGTCTAAGACAAAAGAGCTGAACTGATCTCCACAAAGAGGAACTACAGTAGCTTTGTATTTTGCCCTATGAAAGGATGCATATCCTTTTTCTTAGGTCTAATATCACCCTCCCTGCCCCAAATGGGTTCCAGTTAATGCTGAAGTGTGTTTACATGAGCCATGAATTCTCTTTTATGATATATTAAACTGCACTTGAGATATCAGTAGTTATACAACGTAGGCACTCCAAGGCATGGTGGGTTGTTTTTTGGGGTTTTTTTTTGAGGCTCTGGAGTTAAATTTTGAGGCTTTGAAACTGTCCTTGGCATGAAGAACTCCTGTGTATGCTTCATAGGAGAAAACAGTTGATCTTACTGAGATTTGTCTGAGTTCTACAACCCATCCAGCTGCTTTTGTATAATATTTAGAGATGTGGAAAAGAATAACACGCTTCCTGTGGAAATGTTTGACTTGCCACCCCCAACATGGGAAGCAAACAGGAAGCCTGTGCACCAAAATTGCATATTCAGAAGAGGCAACAATATTTCTTTGGGAAGAACTACCCATTAATATGTGTTATCCAGCACTTCCAACTGGAATGTGCTTGTGAAATTCCAGTGACTTCTTAAAGGTGGTGACTTAACCCAATTGAACTATCCCAGCTTTTGTGTCCTGGTGCTGGGTCCCATGGCTGTTATCCTATGGTTTGCTTTAGGAGAGCTCAGATCTCTTTGTGCTTCATTCCTTGGCTGGTGTTGGGTTCTGTGCTGGGCCCGTGGTCTGGATCTCTGTCTTGGAGTCTGACAAGGCCCTGTGGAGTGCAAGTGCAGAAGGAGGATGACAGTAGTGGAAAGCAGACTGTTTTTTTCTGATCTGCCATCAGTGTTGGGCCATGTGTTGGTTTGTACAGACCACTTCATGGTGTTGCACTTTTCCCCCCGTCTTTATTTTCATATGCTCGTGATGTACTCAACTGCTGGAGGGGATTGACTTACAGCCTTTGGTTCTGTCGACATTTCACTGTATTGATATCTGGAGGGATTGTCCAAATGTGCTTTGGAAGCCTCTCTCAATTTGTTTTTTTTTTCCAGAGCACAGAAGCTGAGCCCCATAAATAATGCAGCTGATATCAAGAAGAAGCTGGAGGTGTAGAAGACGTAGTGGAAATCACTGGTTATGTCTACCAGGAAACCTGGAATAGAAATCAAAGCTTAGCCAGAGAGAAGAGGCACTAAAGGCATTCAGTTACATCAATGTTAAACCTGAATCATTCAGCAAACTGCCATATACAAAAGACAAGAATTCTCTCATGAGTTAAGTTCTATTCTCTGGATTCTAGTGGTTGTTTAGTTTTTTATTTGTAGTCACAAGTCAGGTGATACTTTTGTAGAAAGTATTTCTCAATACACACAGAAATCAGGAAAGAAAGGAAATTGTAATTTTTCCCCAACCTGCTGCTTCATTTCATTTGCTCAGCAGAGAACCCTTGTGCCACTGCCACTCAGTGGCTTTTGGAATGAGTGACCC